AAAATGAGATATATACATGTATAAAATATAAATTTGCCATAAAAGTTAATTTGACAATAAATCTACAAAACATTAAAATAAGTACTGTATTACGCCGTTTATAGGTGCATGCATTTATATCTGAGTTCTGTAACCCGATGTACCCGATGTAACTGAGTTTTTACACAAGGGGAACTTATATCCGGATAGTGCGGTAGTTTTTGACACATTTTTGTGCCATATATAAAAACACACATGCCTTAAAATGATAGTCATATGACTTGTAATTAGACTGAACTCTAAAATGTGTCTTTGAATGTTTGAAATGTTAAATTATTGTTTTATTGACTGATATTTTATAAATGATGATTACGTTAGTATAAATGATAATGTTCAAATAATGCCAAGAGTGCACCCGGGAATTATTGTTATAAATCGATAGTACACTCTGAAAGAAGTACTGTGGTATAGTTCATTTGGCCATACAAACTCGGGTTTGGCCGCAGTAACCACTTTAATCGGCAAAATTTTGACAATCAAATCTTTTATTTTATAAATAAGCATATCATATTATATATCAATAGAAAGGTATGGATGAGTAGAATAGAGATCCGAAGGAATTTCTTAAAGCTGACATAATCAATAAAAGTTATATCAAAATTAAGAAATTTAGTATCAGTTATGTACGTTTTTAATAGTGAATAGCGTAATTACTGAACATCATTTATATCAATTTCAATTATGCTTACAATGATAATTAATTTCGCAAATTAAAAAAATATATAATTTTTTAATATAAAATTTTTGGCATTTTATCTATTTATATTGAACTTTATCCTTTCATACTATAATTCCATACAATGAACATGTGGTAAATAAATTCAAATGATGATTTACTTCAAATGATTAATTAACCAGCATTATTACTAATTCATATATTTGTCAATAAGTTTGACAAATTTATTTAAAGTACTTACAGTATATGATTTTACACAAGAGGTGCACTTATATCCGGATATAAAAGTTTTGATGACATGGGAAATTGGTGAAAATGAATTTGAAACTGAATACAGTGCACATAATATGTTATAATTCTGTTCGTTAAGAGTTCAATTCGAGAGAGAGAGAGAGAGAGAGAGAGAGAGAGAGAGAGAGA